TGGCATCCATCCTCCAGGTGAAAGACCCAGAACTCACTCCGAGTATGTGACGAAACTACGAGAACATCTTCAGGAGAGCTATGAACTGGCTGCTGAAAATTCCCGCAAAATGAGTGAAAAGAACAAGGCGAGGTTTGATCTAAAAGTCAGAGTGGCTGAACTGATGCCCGGTGACAGGGTCTTAGTGAGAAATTTGAGTGTGAGGGGTAAGCACAAACTTGCCGACAGATGGGAGAAGATGGTCCACACTGTGGTCAAGAGAATTTCAAATGGTCCTGTTTATGTGGTAAAGCCGGAAAAGAGTAATGGTCCCCATCGTACCCTTCACAGGGATCTCTTACTGCCCTGTGGGTTCTTGCCTCCGAGCCCAGTAAAACAGATGCCTGGGACAAATGTAACTGCAAACAGAAAATGTAAGATGAGGACAAGGGCTAATATTGAAGTGCGAGAGGGTGATGAATGTGAAGAACAGTCTAGTGATGAAGAGGGAGGTTACTTTCAAATACCTATTCCTGAAATAGTTACAAGGAGTCCCTTCGTTAAACAAGTGGATGATAGGTTGCTCACCTCTCATAATGTTCCTGCAAAATCATCAGACCAGTTGAACCCTCATGCAGTCGAGTTTGCTCCACGTACTTCAACTATACCTAGATCAGAGCCTGTTCAGCCTGTGATTGAACCCACAAGAGAAGTATCTGAGATTGTTACTGGCGGTGCACCAGTCTTTCCTGCCACAGAATCTGTTGGGATTGAAAATGCCCCCGATTATATAGCCATTGAAATTCCAGAAGAGACTGTACCAGCTGCAGGGTCAGAATCCCAAGAATTGTCCCACAGTTCAGTTGACACTGAATCCGTACCCCTCAGACGTTCAGGTCGAGAAAGACGGCCACCGAAGATATTAGAATATGAGGAATTAGGGAAGCCCATATTACTTGCTCTTACACCATTTTTTGATTCCCTGGGAAACATTCTCGCTGCCAGTCTTGTTGCTAACATGCATGCAGGGACTCATGCGGTTTAGAGGGGGAGAGTGTAACCCTTGATATTTCTATCCTGTTTTACTTCTTAGTCTCACTTCTTTAAAACCTGGTACTGCCCCTTTAAGAGGTTGGGTAGTTCATGCGGGGAGAGAGTGCACAGCAATAGCGCGCAGAGTGAATGTGCATGAAGCACGGACAAAACGCATAGCGTGTGAGTAATTTCGACTATGCTGATTAAAATAAGCATTTATATTGCAAATTGTCTTTGAATAGCTGGTTTATTGTTTATATGTCAGTCTGGGAGGTTGAATTTGAAACACTGTGGAAGAGAAGTCGAAGACTTATTGCTTTCCGTGACTTTTCTGAGACATTCTGGTGAGTGTATTCTGCTTGTAACAAAATATTTTGTTGTCATGTTGTTATTTGAGCAAAACCAGTCAGAATGTATTCATGTCAAAGGAAATGTGGTTAAATTGTTCATGTGGGTGTTGAAGATGAGAGCAGCTAAGTATAGCACCACGATACTAGTTTTGCTAGTCAAGGAGAGCATGAGGTGTGCAATGCTCATGCTTATTAGGACTGAGATATTTTTTAAAAAAAATTTCCACACATTACACGGGACTGAGATATTTTTTTTCCACACATTATATGGGACTGAGACAGTTTCTTTCCAAACTTGGATTTTCAAAAATCAATCTCCTTGGGTTACAATTGCATTGTTGTTATCCGTTATCAAGCTCAATTAATTGTTGGAGATTGAGTGTCATTCAATGTTAATCACTTTGGTTTTAAAGTGCCAGAACAAAGAGCATTTAAATTGATTGCCTCACAAAATACATTTCAAAACTTAAATTCTTGTGTGTGGCATTATTTTATTTTACTTTTTCATGATATTTCAGTTGTTCATTTAAATTGAGAATTTGATTTAAAAGGAAAAATACCCCAAAGCTCCTTGAACGAACTTAGACAATTGATATTTTCAATTAGATCACAAATCCCTGAAGTAAACCCTGGGATAAAGGGGGTTACACCAGCACAGGTCACAATTAATATTTGAATTATTCTGTGATTCCCCACTCAAGAACACAATCATCAGTTCACATGTCATGCACTGCAGATTATAGTAACAGCTCCTCTGTAAATATAAAAAGAATCTTTTCCAGTTAATCCACATGCAAGAACTCTTAAGAGCTTCCTCTTAAGTAGTCCGGGTTAAACGGCACAGCCCACTGGAGGGTGTCCTTATCACAGTGCTCTCTAAAAGATTTGCAATAAGTACCACTGGAGGTTTGCACAGAGAGGATCTCAACGTTAAAAAAACCCACTGATGAATACGAAAAAAAACAATCATCAGCACTCATCCAGTGAGAATCACTTTCATGTTCTGGTGCATGTGAAATAATGGCAGCTATACTGCAACGAACTTAAAGGGACAGTTCACTCAAAAATTTAAATTCTGTTATACTCACCTTCATGTTATTCCAAACCCATACAACTATTTCATTTTTGGAATACAAAAGCAGATATTTTGTAAAACCTTTTGACTTTCATTGTATGGACAGTTGAAAAATGCTGAAACAAAATCATCTTGAGGGTTGAGAGTAAATGATTACAGAATTTTAATTTATGGGTCAACTATACCTTTAAATCATATAATATTGCTAAATACAATGGTAATGTTTAGTGTTTTTGTGGCACAGAACGATTAATTTGGATTCCTGTCTTCCTAATAATCATTTGTGGATGTCTAGTATTCCACTGACCAACACATCTAAATTATAATATATTTATATACAATAATTAAACTAACAATTAAACATACAAAATCATACAACATCATCTCAAGATATCTAGTTGTATTTTATTGGAAGCTCCGGGTAATACATAAAAGTGTAAGTTGCATACAGTAACTCACTTGTAACCAATGCCCATAGTTGCACATCTCCATCACAAAGTCTGTACGTTGATAGAATGTTTATCTAGACATAAACATTCTTCTGGAAAGAAAAGATTGGGGATGAAAACAACCTGTATTTGCCCCCCACTAAGGCTGAAGATTTCTTTAAAATGAAGGCACCAGAGGCTGTACAATAAAACAGACCTAATGTAGAGATACTGACAGAGAATGCTACAGGAATCCAGATAAACAAGTATTATCACCACTATAAGAATTTCAACCCATTTGATTTGATCGACTTAAAACTAGTGTTAAGTTATAATGCAAAAATGCGGCACAGCAGTGAAAGTGCACTGCTGTTCAAAAGTTTTTTTTATTTGAAAGAAATTAATACTTTTATTCAGCAAGCATGCTTTAAATTGATAGTGACAGTAAAGAATTTTGAAATTGTTAATTCAGCATTGGCATCACAGGAATATTACATTTTATAATAGATATAAATAGAAAACTGCTATTTCACAATATTAATGAAAGAAAATAAGCTTACTGACCCCAAACTTTTGAATGGCAATGTGTGATAAAGAAACACACAAATATGAGTTTGATTTTACAAACAATTTCTCCATACTCTGTATGAATTATATAAACATATGACTTTAAGCAAATAATACAGGTGCTTCCTTCAGTTTGATCATTTTTTAATTCTTGACTACTTAACTACTTTAGAAATTAAGGTAATTCAAGTCAACACTAATTGGATATTATGACTATGATATGGACTTTATACAGTCATTTATACAGTCAAAGGTTTGGCAGTGACACATTTTGTTATGCAAAGTTTGCTGCTTAAGCTGTTGTGGTATTCATTCACATTGTTTCTAGATTATTGTGTAGAGTGAACAGATGCATTTTAAATAATTGTTATAAGCTTCATTGGCCAAAAAATGAACTAATTTCACTGTTTTTTGATCCTGACACAAAATGACCAGCTAACATTAATTGACTAATCATATCAGCAGCACATGTGAAAGTGTGAATGAGTACTAGTCAGGTAAAATCACTATCATACTAATTAGATTGTAAGAGCAGACTGATTGCTATAAGAGGAGGGAAGAATGCTTCCAGTCATTGTGTTCTTGTTAGCAATGGTTACCTCCAAAGAAACACATGCAGCCATCATCGCTTTGCATCAAAATGGCCTCACATGCAAGGAAATTGCACCTGAAAGAACCATGTACCAGATCATCAAGAACTTCAAGGAGAGAGGTTCGACTGCAGTGAAGAAGTCTTCAGGACGTCCCAAAGTGTCCAGAAAGCGCCAAGACAGTCTCCTCCTGAGGAATTGTGTCACCAGCAGTGCAGAGCTTGCTCAGGAATGGCAGCAGGTTGGTGTGAGAGCATCTGCATGCACAGTGAGGCCAAGACTTTTGGACAATGGCCTGGTGTCAAGAAGGGCAGCAAAGAAGCCACTTCTCTCCAAGAAAATCATCAAGGACAGACTGAAATTCTGCAGGAAGTACAAGGTTTGGCAGCAGAAGACCGGTGCAAAGTTATTTTCTCTGATGAAGCTCCCTTCGAACTGTTTGGGACATTCGGAAAATCGATTGTTCGGAGACGAAAAGGTGAACGCTACCATGAGTCCTGTGTTGTGCCAACAGTGAAGCATCCTGAGACCATCCATGTGTGGGGTTGCTTTTCAACCAAGGGAGTGGGCTCTCTCAAAATTCTACCCAAAAACACTGCCATGAATAAAGAATGATATCAAAACGACTTCTTCCAGCGATCCATGATTGGTTTGGTGATGATCTGTGCATTTTCCAGCATGATGGAGCACCATGTCACAAAGCAAGAGTGAT